AAGCCGTGCGCACACGCTAGTCAAGTTATAAAAGCAACTCCCATGGACTGACATTTTGAGCCCTGAGGACGTCAGCAGATAGCTGACGAAAGCTAGGCGTTTTAATTGGTTTTATTAGTAGTTTTAGTAATTTTAACATTAAACCAAAATTTTTTACCACATTCCCTGGTGCTCGTGTGTTTTTCACTGTTTTAATATAGTTTATATATATATATATGTAAATAGAAGTGAATAAGGAAATCACTTGCTTAAAATTAAAGGCATATTGCTTTTTAATTTCTTTTCCATCCCTGACATGGCTTTTATGTAGTAAATATTTTAAGTTCTATCTGGCCAATAATTTCCTTTAATGCACAGACCTTCAAATTCTGCTTCCATTTTGGCTCCAGAAACTGTTTGTTCTGGCTGCTTGAAGAGATGAAAAGGAGGGGAGGGAAACTTTTGACAACAATAGTAGGAGGAAGCCAAACGCTTGAATTCCTATCAGAATTTTTTATCAGAAGAGGTCAAATTGCATGGAGTTTGATTTGTAGTTGTAGTATTATGGTGAGCCCTCAAAGAACCTTCTGTTCTTTTCCCCACAATATAACAATCTACCTTCATTCTGCTCTGTGGATTTTGCCACTTCCTTTTATTACCACACACATACACATACACACACACACACACGTCAAATTCTGGATCACGGCCTGCAGTGCTTTAGTTTTTCAAGGCTAAAGAGACAATTAAAAAAATCTTTTGTATCTTTCCTCTTCTGGCCCATAGTCTCCTTCCCTTCTCCACTCTCATTACTTCCCGTTATCAGCTTACGAATCCAGTCTGTACTTTTCTGCAAATCTCATAAAATGAATATGCCTTTTATTCTTCAGCTAACCCTTGATTCCTTCCAATTGTTGTCAACAGGTAGAAGCTAGATCTGTATGTGACTATCTGACAAGCCTCTCAAGGATGCCAACCATTTCTGTTGCAGACCTACAAACTTTATTCAGCAGCAAAACCAGTGTAAATCATTCTGCAGCTAAACATATTGTTATACATCTGATTATCAGCTTTGTGCTATTTACTCCTAATGGACACACCGTAGCCAGGGAATTGATTACATACGTAAGTTTTTCCCCCCACCTAATAGCAGAATATTACAATTCCCATACTGAAAAAACTTAGTCATTTATATGTTTCAATTTTTCCACACGGTACTTCGTTGATGTGTTTGGCTATACCTCCCATCACTCAAGATAGTAATCATAGATCAGAAATGGGAATTGTAATTTGATCTAGTAATTTTAAACGATTAACTGTTTTTGACTATAGGGACAACACTCATGTTTTTTTTTCAACCTTCATTGGGTTTAATTTAAAAAGGTCCTGTGCTTAGGCATGTTTTGCTGCTGCTCAGCTCTTGAAAATATTTAGCAGAAGATCCTCTTTGCGGAGTAATTTTGGTTCCCTCCACGGTGGGCAGAGCAGTAACAAACACTTCTTCAGAAATCACTAATATACTCACTAATACAGGGCTTTTCAACCTTTTCACCCATTGTACCACTTTTAGGATATGGCAATATCCGAGTACCACCAGTCGCCTAGCAAGGTGTCAAAAACTTGATGACCCCCCAAAAAAGGGATGAAGTAAAGGTAGTCCTCGACTGACAACAGTTCACTTAGTGACTGTTCAAAGTTACAATGGCACTGAAAAAAGTGCCCCCCAGCCGAGCAAGACACCTGCCTGCCCACCCGGCGGTGCTCTTCCTTCTGTCCGAGGTTTTCATGGTTGTGAGCATTTCTGTTGAGGATTGGCGGTGGGGGTGGGGTGGGGGGTGTTTGGTTTTTATTCCTCCCATCTGCTGGGTGATTGCAGCAGGCTTCGGTCACTTCACATGACCCTGGGACACTGTTACCGTCATAAATATGAATCAGTTGCCAAGCATCTGAATGTAAATCATAAGACCCTGGAGATGCTGCAACATTCCAGCTGATTGGCGCTTCTTCTGGGCTCAGCAGAAGCACCAGGATCAGCGCCGAGCTCCAGCTGGAGCCTGGTGCTGATCCTGGCGCTTCCACTGAGCCATGACAGCCCCAAAGCACTGATCCTGGCGCTTCTGCTGAGCCCTGACAGCCCTGCAGCTCCAGCCATCTCTCGCTCAGGCTTGTGCTGTGCTGCCACCAGTTCAGCTCATTCCCCTCCCCCGCTACTTTTCTAGGATGGTCGCGTACCACCTGCCAGGTGCCAATGTACCACAGGTGGTACCCGTACCACTGGTTGAAAAGCCCTGCACTAATATACTCACTAATATACCTCTTTTCTTAAGGAATGAGCTTTTAGAATTTTTTGCTTTGTCTTTTGGTCTGTGAATATCTGTGAACTATCTAGCATGCTAGAGAGCAGAAAAATGTTTGCCTGTGCCATAAGGTAATATTCTAATTTTAAATTTATTTTTATTTTTCCCCTCAACTTCTTTCAGATTCTAGCTGGAGGTGGTGAAATCCCAGAAGTAACTGGACTTCTTACCCGTATCTCAAATACAGCTAGCCAACTTGGAGTGAAATATCAATGCTCTGTAAAGCTAGCAAATGATCTGCTCCAGGAATTTCGATGTGGTGCTTAGTATTTATTCAGAATTATGGAATAGAAGGAGAGAAAGTAGCTGTTTTCCAATGGGCATTTTCTGAAAGAGATTGGAAGATAAAACTGTTATTTACAAACTGTATAATAATGACGTTCATGTAGTTTTTCTGCATTTGCAGAAATATCTTGTTCAAAGTTACTCAGAAGTGCATTATAAAGCTGTTCTTTTTGCTTTGAGAAAATGTTTAAAATAGTGGCATGCTTTATCGATGCCATCATTTACAATCCGATCAAACATCTTATTTCTGCTATACCACTTTGTGGCATCTAAGCCCCATTACAAGCACATGATTATTAGTGATTCCTTTTGAACTAAATGTTTCCATTAGATCAGTGACCAAACACCTACTTGTGTTTCTTCTAACTTGTTTTCTTCAACAGGAAGCAAATATCATATTTTGTTAAAGTGGCATTAGTCAGCAAACGTATTTTCCTTTCCTGGGGCTACATGGACCATAGACCTTTCCTGAGCTGCAGACATGGAACACTGCCAAGGAAAGATTTGTGCAATTTTAAAAATTGATTTTTTTTTAAAAAAAAATCCTCCTTTCATAGCAGAACTAACAAGCTGCTATTAAAAGTTTGTACTTAACAAGGATGTCTCCCAATTTGCAACTTAAGAATCTCAATCTCATAAATAGAAGACTTGTTTGGAAATCTCTCACATTTTTTTATAATGCACAAGAAGAACATACTTCCTGTAAACTATGCATTTTGGATTTTTAGAAGTTTCCTTTAAGGCTTCTAATTTAAATCTCCTCCTACATAGGAATAATGGAATTCTTACGCCAGCATGCTTTTTGAGGGATAGGATGAGTTCCAAAAACAAGCAGGAGAAAAAATGTACCCACAAACAGGCTATTCTGACCCCTGCACTATGTAATTGGTGTTTTTGAAGTATGATGTTCTGGATCTCTAATTTATATAAAACCTTAATGTTTTCTATTCTGGCAACTAGCCATTTAAACCTAAGAAAAATTAATTTTTCACACTACTATAGGAAATACAGGGCTTTTTCTGCCCCTTAAACTATGTAATATGTTTGCCAAATTAGGATCTGCTCCTCCCACTCCTGAAAATAAATTATGTGACTGTTGTAGAACTGCATGTGTTCAGCATTCTACAGTTAATCCTCAACCATTCAAAATTAAGATGGCACTGGAAAAAGCAGCTTAGGAATGATCCTTTGAGCTGAACGATTGTTGCCCCGTCCCCACGGTCATGTGTTTAAAATTCAGGCACTTGGCAACCAGCATGTATTTAACAACAGTTGTAGTATCCCAGGGTCACATGATTGCCATCTGCAATCTTCCCAGCTGGCTTCAGGCAAACAAAAGTCAATAGGGGAAACCAGATTTGCTTAATGGCCATCTGATTCACTTTACAACCATGGGGGAAAAAGTTTGTATAATTGGGTGTCACTCAGTTAAACAACCACATTGCCTAGCAGCCAAGACTCCAACTGCAAATGTGGTTGTTAAGTCAAGGACTACTTGTAGCATATTCCAACATCATCTTCTAAATCTAAAGGAGATCATTCATTTCAACGTAGTGATTATAACAGTCTTTTTTTTTCCCCTTCCATTTTAGAAAATACTGTTTCTTGCAACAATACTTGTGACACTTTCCTGGATCACTAACGGACCCAAGGTGCATTTTTGGATTACCGTTTTATGGAAAGTTAGAAAAACAGCCTGTTAGGAGGTACCTCAGTTACTCCTAATGCAGAACCACATATACATATAGTGCTGTTTCCTATCAAGCTGCCTAATGCTTGAAAATTTGACACCCACTCCTCCTCCCCTTTTTAAAGGCATGTTCATAGTTGCAATTTAAATGATATCTTAACATTGATTCTGGGAATTTGCACAGGGGTGGTCCATTTAATACCAAATGCCAGAAGAGTTTCCCTTGCTTTTTCTGGCTGTATTCCTTCAACCGACTGTCTGAGTCTATAAAAGGTGTTAAAAGCCCTTGAGCTTCTTTCTAAAGGGCTTAAGTATACTCAAACTGACTAGGCCCTTTTAATGGCCAACGTTCTACAGACACCACAACTGTGACTGAAGTCTTGCATCCCCGTTGCCATCCTGCCAACCCACAAGCAACCTAACCAACTTTCAATTGGCAAGCGGCAATCCTTCAGTAGTTGATTTCTCCCTAGACTATCATTTTGTTTTAAGCAATAATAAAATATTGAGAAAAAAATCGCTTTAGAAACTGCTAAAGGTTTGGCTTTTCCACATTTAGCCTCTCATTATTAATCATATTTCTCTTTAATTGGCTAATGAAAAATAATGGCCAGACTCATATTAGCCTACTTTGGATACATGAAGACCTAGCTCTTTGGAGTATGCTTTAATACTGGAAAAGGGGGGGGGAGAGAGAGAAGAAAAAAACAACCAGCAGCAAAGTGGATGGACTGAGTTACAGTGGCAATGAGTACATCTGTTGGAAAACCTGAGGCTCCAGATTAGGGACAGATTGTCATTGGGAAAATCTATATAGGTGATTCTAGAAGTTGACACCAGCTCCATAATCCATCCATCAGACTGCCTCGGGCTCCTTTTGGGAGGAAGAACACTACAGAAATAAAATCATTACCACAGCATGAGAAGAACGAGAGTAAAACTTAACGTCTGCACTTTTATATGTTCCTGCATTTGGATTAAGAATGTGGGCATTGTCACACATTTTCATGCATTAGGTTGGATACACAGGTCCATATTCAAAAGCACTAAAGACTATCTGTTGTTTAATACTTTATGTATTCTTCAGATTATATAGCAGGTTACATAGTCTTATTTTTATATCAAACAGAAGCCAACTTGAATTCTTATTCAGAACTCAAAACATGGCACGTAATGGAATTAAAATACCAAACAAAAGGAAGGAGATGTCATTGGCATTCAGTTAATCTTTTCTAAACTTAAAGGTATATTAACTGATCTTGTGATCATCAAAGAATTGTTACTTTGTACTTAACGCTACTGAATGCACGTCTGATGTCTTTGGCATTAAAGGGGATTAATTAGCAATATCCAAACAAGTCAACAGAGGTCTCTTTTTACATGGGAGATCTGTGATGGAAGTGGATGCACATTTAAGAGAACCTGAATGTAAAATTGACATTTTACAAAAGCCAAATATTTCTTCTGGATGTGGATTGTTCTTATTTGTACTTCATGGGTTTGTTAATAATAACAGTATATGCTATCCACAGCCTTTATGGAGTTATGTAGTGTTTTACATTTGACAAAACAATCACATTAATACAGTTTAAATCACAAGGCAATTGTTCCCTTTGTAGTGTTTTACTTTCTGAATTCCCTTACTCAGCCCCTGTTATCTTTCACAATGGCATAACAAAATGATGAGTTGCTTTTCCTTCATTATCCTTCGCAAAAGCCTGTGAAATAGAGCACAACTTCTTTCAAAGAATCATTCGGATCCTTTCTTGAATACATCAAAAGGTCTACAGTAAGAGCCATTGCTGTAGCTCAGTAAGAGGCCATGCAGGCTCCAGATGTCTGCAGAGCTGAATCCAGGACTGCCGGCAGTTTAATTCAGCTTATTAAAATTTAGAAACATTACTTTGTTTGAAAGGCAAAAAGGGGTAAATAGAGTTACTCTGACTGGATACACGCATGAGTAAGTGTGTGTCTCCCCTCTTAGCTAACAAGGGCATGGCTGCAGATTTTTAACTCATTAGTACATCCACTGACATTTGAAAACAGCGCATGTATACACACAGAGATATGTCTCAAGGAAAAAAAAACCTATCAAAATGTTTATAAAATCAGTTTATTTACAAAATATGTTTTACAAAGAAGGGAGTGATACAAATTCACAGATTATTGAGGTTGTATCATATTGCTTTGAATGAAACTGGTAGTCAGCATTGGGCATAGGAGAGCAATACTTCATTGATACTACTTAATACTATGCCTATATTGTAGTGTGACCGAGGGCCTTAATAACAAAATCACAGTAATCCTCACTTTAATTAAGCAAAACACATTAAGTTCAATTTAAATTACACATAATATTCTCTTGACTGAAGGGTTTAGCTCTTTGAATATTTCTTTTCTCTTTTTGGCCTTGGATCCACATTCATAATTGTATTTTACTATGAGGGAGATGAAGGATTTGTTCTTCCTGGTTTCTGTCACCTTCTACAAAAAGACGTACTCTGCATAAAATGTTTTTCAGCTGATTGTTTTAGCAGCAACATACTCCTCCCTTTGATGTCCAGAATCAAAGAAATTCTAATACCACCAGCATTTGGTAACAAATACAGTTAAAGTCTCTGCCTTTCCTGTAAGGGAAACAGTGGTAAAACTTATTATTCTATCACAGCGAAGCAATACTTTTTTTTAAAAAAAAAGAATGCATGCAAAGAGTAATAAATGGGATGGCTATTCTTTACAACCCCACTTCTTCAGATGGCTTCTCTGCCACTCTAATTTTTCTTGAATGCAGACAGTGGGAAAGAATTGCAGCATTGGTAATTTGATGTTCTGTGACTATCAGGTTTCCTGTCAGCTTCTGTGCAATTTGAGAAGGCAGGAGAGGGAAAAATCACACCAGAATGGTGTAAGGAACTTCTAACTATGCAATTATCACAGTTGTTTTCTTCAAATATATATCCTAGACACAACAACAAGAAAGTTCGTAACTATTCTTTCTGAAAACATTGGAAGAATAAAGCATTCAAGAGATTACTCATTGTGTTTGTTGCTTAAATTAAGAATTCCTTTACGCAACCTACAAATACTTAATCGTTGTGTTTTCTGCAGGATTGTGGCTGGGTAACCCACATAAAGATTTGTGCTTCCCATCAAAATATCAGTCTGTGCTAGCTTTGAAATAAACATTAGTTTTCACCGACATCTGTGTACTCGGAAAATATTTGTGGGGGTTTTGTTTTGGTTTTTGCTTTAGGGCTCGACTCCTGTTCCTGCTGAACTGAGCCAGTATATAAAATCAGAACTGATATCAGCTCAGTAGGCACCGGAGGACGGGTCCATCAACAGCCTGGAACAGCAACTGCTGCATGGGGCAGCTCCCATACCAACAAAAAGAAAAGAGCATTTATTAGAAACAATAGCAATTTGTCCAGTTTATTACAACTTGCAACCTGAATGCTTAAATGCTAAGTTTATTTTAAAGGCAAATATATAAAATGCTACGGGGTGGGCTGATACACCACATTAGTATCTTAAGTGCTAAGAAAACAAAATATAACAAACTTTTTAAAGCAGTTGGTTACTTCTCTACTGTAACTAAACCTGGATCCCCCCATAAGGAGCTTTTTTCATTCTTGATAGACAGAAGCACACAGGGATTGGGTAGCATCTTCATTGTTTATAATCCGCATTCTGTGAAAATACTTGCTATGATACAATCGTTGCAGGAGCAATCAGGCTCGGAAATTTTAGGAAAGGCTTGGATCTCAACTTCTCTTCAGGTGCAGAACTTAGCCACTGTGAACAAAGAGGAAATCAATCACTGTTCACCAATCAGCTAAGCTCTGCACCTCACTAGAGAGGTCTCCATCGGAATATAGTTAAAAAGTAGTTGACGTTCTTCAATAGCTTCTCTGTGTATCTTAAGAGGAGGGTAGCAGGTTCCAAGAAGCTGAGGGAGACCATCATGAATTAAGCCACAGAAGGTAATGTTATAGTTATGTGGTAATCCCTGGCAATGTGATTTTAATCTTAAATCACAAATCAGCATGCCAGGAACCCAAACAACCAAAACAGGAATGGAATCTGTACAAACTGTCAGCTGTAATAAGAATTTTATCCGAGAACTGGAGATTTAAAAACAACTTTCACATTTATTTCATTCACATGTTAGAATACAGTAGTGCTACAGATCAGCTCTAGAAACAATTAGAATGGTGTACAAGTAAATTAACCATCTTTAATGAAGATTGTGAAATTATTCTAGAGTAATATGATGGCTCACTTAAGCACACAATGAACCATTTAAAACAGCGGTCCCCAATCTCTTCAACTTGGCCTGGCCGGGGGGGGGAGAGAGGGGAACTGGGCCATGCAAGCGGTGGTCTGGGGACATGTGCACACCTCAACTTGTGCAAGTGGTGGACTGGCACACATGCATGCATGCACAGCTTGACTTAAGCAAGTTGAGCTGTACATGTGCGTATGC